ATTTCAGAAACAAGCCCCACGTTTGGGCACAGCGTTTGCATCACTTATGAAGCACGACTTCACCACTGCGGGTTGCTTATAGAGACAGAAATATTGTGCGTAATACAATAAGAAAAAGATGGATACTTGGTGACTGTACCTCCCTGAAACCACCGGATATACTTAACATGAGTGAAATTTGAGAGAAACAGAGACTGAATGAGTTTCAGAACAACTGATGAATATTTTGGCCCTGGAAGAGGCTACTTACAACAACAAAACTGGAGAAAGTCTTATTAGATTTTATATAATTTGTACTCTTCATTACTGACTATCTCACAACAGAACCGAAAGATTCAACAATACTAACAATCAAATCCTGTATTTCGTCGTGTTGCTGATGAAATTAAATGTAATTCTTATGATCACAACCCACCTCCCTAAGATCCATATTAATCCCATAGTGGCACTAAAGATTTGGTTTAACATAATATAATAAATTATGGAAATCCATCCACACGTGACACCAGTAGAATTATTTTAGTACATTTTAAATTAGAAATAAAGTGAAGGAAATATAAAGAGAACACTGAATGAGATGTTTTGGTTTTTACACACACAGAAAGAATCCGAGAACAAACATTGTCGGAACAAATGTTCCACTGGATATGGAATTAGAATAAAATTGAGGGGTAGGCCAAAGGCATGGTAGTAAATTTGAAATAAATAAATTTATGTTATTGACAATTTTGGAGTTAAAAAACAGGCAGTATGTCAAAGTATAAGACCTGCAACGAAAATAGAAGAATGAACCATGTAAATGATGTTATCTTCAATGTTTTATTTTAAATGAATATGAGAGAAACGTCCATACAACTTCGTACTTGCTTACGTCCTACCTGTACACTGAGTTTCGATAAAGAAACCCACCAGTGGTGCCAACCATCCTCAAGTTTCTCTAAATAATAAAAATAATACATCTCTAGTGAGTTTGTTGACATCTGCACTAGAAATGAACAGCACTTGCTGTTTGAATAATTGGTTCAAATCGACAACTAAAGAGTATAATATAATATTTAAGTCTCACAGTCTCCTTTCGGTTACATGTGTCCACTTACGGTTCAGTATCTAAATCGTTGAAATCATGTCTTTCCTGATCGACGCAAATTTGGTATAAAGTGATATTAAATTAATAAAATTAATAATATACTAGCATAATTCAGAATATTTCTCACTCAAACAACATATGAGATGACTAGTCCGCACGCTGCAACATCCCAAGAACTAAGTCACTTTTCACTTCGTCCACTGAGTTAAATTGTGTACTTGATGTTCTCATAGAAAGTATGAGCGGTGTTGGCAGCTGGCGGTGAAGGAAGGCTTGTTGGTATAGATGGGGGCGGTGGAGTCATATAGGGCTTACGGTCGCACTGCACTGGCTGCATGGTGGCTGCACGGATACCTGGAACACAACAAGAAAACAGCAATAAAGCACCACCCAGGAAACGTCTTCGTGGACAACAGTCCTCCATGAGAAGCTAACATTCTTCGAGATTTCATCTTCTCGGCGATAAGCATGAAGATGACTGTCTTCTGGGACATTGTGCCTCGTAGTCTGGTAGAAATTTACCGACGTTTCAGAACTGCTTGCTACCTCCATCATTAGGGCGATAAATGACTCATTGTCCTGATGATGGAAAGGTACATATGAAACGTCGGTTAATTTCTTTAAGACGGCTCAAAGGTAACTTATACAGCGGATATCCTGTTTGGGGTTTTCGCCAGTACCTCCGCCATACTGGCCACATGTGTAACAACGCCGGCGCTTAGTTGTGCTGCCAAGCTGACTGGTACAAAGCATAGCACGCAGACAGGAACACGGGCCAACAGATTGAATACCAGCAGCATGTGTGGCGTCAGTGAAGTGAGACCACCCATACCGTCATGGTTCCCAGCACATGATAGCTAATAAAACCATTAATAAGCGTATGACTGTATGCACATGGTCCGTGCTGCTCTGCTACCTCGTTAAAGAGGATTCCTGAAGAGCAACAACGGAGGGAGATGGATAATGTTCACTTGTCAAGTTAATACCCCTTCTTCTTAAACGAAAGTGTCGGGTTCGATTCTCAGCCCGGAGACTGGCTGAATGAGACTTTTGTGGTTAGAAATCATCCAACGATTCGACGCCATATAAACAGTGTATTAGAAGAAAACATCGTCAAATCAAAAATCTTCTGTCTGCTTACTTGTGCCTACAAAGTTATTTTAACCAGTGTATATAACTTGGAATACGGATTAATTTTATTAAAAATGCCTTAGGCCCACACCAATCTCTGAAATTTTAAAATAATAAGTTACGGCATCTTCAGGGCTCAATATTAAATTTCTTTACCACATATATAAGTTATGAATAAGGAATGAAACGTCATGACCCAAGAAAAGAGCAGGACATTTCTTGAATAACTGAGCGACTATTAGCTTCTGAAGAAGAATGCTTCACCTAGTGATCTGACACAACTCAGCAACATTCCGCACGTGTACTGAGCTTTTCACCAGGGAATGGCATTTCTACAGGCTGCGGGTGAAGAGTTCTGCCTCCAGATACGGAGGGTCGCTGCGAAAGTATTGGAAGAACCAAGTCGCGGACAGCGGACTAAATGTGGTCCTCCAGCTTGGGGGATGAGCGGAGGGCAACAACTGTTCAGTGTAAAAAAGCCAGCGTGTTACGAAATATAACTCCAGTAGAACTTGGACGGATTCTTTGAACGATCTAAGCAACAGAAAATGAACACAGTTAAAAATCAGACACTTCGATTCGAACACGTGGGTAGCCAAAGTTTGTTACTTCGTAAAATTCGTTGTCATTGAGATGATCAACTCTTATATACTAACAAACGATTAATTTCTAATTTTTTGACATAAATATGCGTGTAGTATGAAGCGAATTGTTTGTAAGGTCAAAAGAGATATTTGCGCGTTTAAATTTTGAGCACTCTATACTGTGTTCACAAATAGGGAACACGTTAATAATAATAATAATGAAATCCCCATTCCCTGAAAGCCAGAAAACGCGCATGCACTGTTATATCTAAGACGTCAATCTTGTTTTTAAACTTCAAAAGAAATTTCTTTGGAAACTATTAATAACGAAGAAATACAAAAATGTAAGATTTGAGGTTTTCACAGCGGTGAGTATGAAGATTTCTGTCTTCTGGGTTGTTGCGCTGTGTAGTCTGGTCGATGTTAACCAACGTTTCAGAGGTCATACTGCCTCCGTCATCAGGGCGATGAATCGCCCTGATGACAGAAATCTTCAAATACGAAAATATTCTATCACATTGCACTTGTTTGTTTGTTTGTTTGTTTGTTTGTATGTTTTTTGAGACAAGAATAAAGCGAGCATAGTTTTATATTCCTAGAAAGTACGGTTTTTCTCCCAAAGGAGCCTGTTTACACAAAAGAGGAAAATTAGGTTGCGGGGGGTGGGGGGTGGGGGTGGATTGAATTCTTCTGGTTCAGGACAGGAACCAGTGGTGGATTCTCGTGAACACGGAAATGAAGCTTCGGGTCCCATAAATGCGGAGGATTTCTTGACTACGTGATCGTAATATTAGCTTCTTACGAACGACTGAACTGCTTGGAGTTGGTTAGTTCGTTATTCTTTTATATTTAACATAATTAGTTCGCCTTTATATTAATTCATAGAAGGTGCAAGTCTATTTTGCAGATAGAAACCCAGTGTTACAAAAGTACGTTAAAAGTATCAAATTTACTTACAGTCAGAAATTTTCTTCCTACAATATAAGCTTACATAATACTGAAGACATTGATTTGAAATCTTAATAAGATATAAGGCCTATGAATAATATCTTACACCGTTTTCCGACAAACATTCTTTTAGGAAAGCAACAAATTTAATTTTGTAATTCAAGATTCACGTAAATTTGTCCAATTCGTGGTTTTCATCCGAAACACAAAATTTCCTAAAAATGCGTTGAATATTTTCTGACATTGAAACATGCAGACTGGCGGAAAACAAACAAGCAGACACAACAATTTATTTATTCGTATGCTTTGTACAATTCATGCAAATAACGCATATAAATTTAGAGCGACAAATTAGGTCAACACTTCTTCATATCAAGAGAGAACCATCGTGACGTCATCCTTTGAAGGCCGGAAGCCAGAGACGGTAACAGAACTTAACAAACATAAAGTGCCCAAAATGTCGTAATTGGCATGGTCTCTGACTTTGAATACAAGTATTTTTCAACATATTTCGTTGTGGGTTTAGACACCTTATGGGTCACTTACTGCAGCATAAATATATTTGCTGAAGATTTACAACGCACCGGCTAGGAACAAGTTCTTCTCTCTTTTTCCTATTTGTCTGCAGTTCTTGAAGAACTTAGGCCGGTTCTGTTGTTGAGGATCCGAAAACTTGTTTTTCGGCATTTGACAAGACGTACTAGAGAGGGGAACAGCCCGTCGCAAAGGTTATACCAACGCAGAACAACGCTATATAAAAAGACGAAGACAAAGCATCCATGCCTTGAGCGAGATTTCATACGATTTCCAGATCCCAAGCAAACAACAGTGTGACTCCTGTGATCGGCAAACTGATAATCACGGAAGACAGAGATGCAAATAGGTAATTAAATCGGCGATGGATTAAATATATCCATGTAACTGTACTGTCTAAAGGCAAAGTATTATGTTTTTTAACAAATACTTTCTGATACCTCAATGAAGATCAGTTACTGATGGGACATTTTGTATAATGTAGGAAAGAAGAATATAATAGCGAAAGCAATTTCTAAATTTGGTCTTTGCTATTATTCATCCATTATTAATTTTGTGTTTTGTTTATTTATTGCGGTAAATGTCTGTATATTTATTATTGAGACATCTCATCTAAAATAAGTGCATGGGCCTCTAAAGACGCATCAGTAAGTTTATCCTGTTTTTTCCCATTATTCATGTGTATGCGCAGAGGATCATGGAGAATGGCATCATTATGGATCCATAATGCAACAATCAGACTTGTTTGTACTCTCCACTCTGTTCAGGCCCAGTTTAATCCTTTGAAGCACGAAACTCACATGAATACTATTCACAAATTGTGTTTCCACTTTAAAGTTAACAAAGCGCGCCTTCATCAGATAGACAAATCGGTTAATTATGTTCAGAGAAATAATCGGTATTTATTCTGAGAATTGTACAAAACCCATAAACACACTTGTGGGCAAAATGAAGTTACTGAATTCTAAACCACGTGGCACATATTAGTTATCACTATAATAACACAGCGCAACAACCCAGAAGACAGAAATCTTCATACTCATCGCCCTGATGACGGAGGCAGTATGACCTCTGAAACGTCGGTAAACATCTACCAGACTGCACAGCGCAACAACCCAGAAGACAGAAATCTTCATACTCACAGCTGTGAAAACCGCAAATCTTACGTAGACTATACAGTGCTGCTTATAACCATTTACGAGAGGCCATCTCCCTTGGACAGCCCTAGACAGCAGCTAACTCGTGTTATGCATGCATCTTACGTCTCCGGTTTCATGATTGACACTTTTTTTCTCCACACCCTCGGTTCTAAGTGACCAAGAAGTTCCACAGCAAAGATCTGCCATGGTTTGAATTCCAAATTTTTAGCTTGTTCTCACATAATAGGACAGAATTGGCCATGCTTCAATTACTGCTGATTTATTAATACTAATTGGACCTGCGCCTGTAAGAACCACTAAAGAAACTACCTATATAACATTTTTTAGAAGGAAAAAGAAACTTTCACAAGAACTGAGCGTTCAAGTAATCCATTATTAACATATTTACGCTGTATATCTATTGAATAGAGCAATACTTAATATGTTGGCTAAAGCTTTCACGATGACTTAAAAGGTCTTCTGTAGCTGTCAGCCGTGTAAGTTAATTGAAAATCACCGACGTTTCAGGGTCAATTTCTAACCCAGTGATCAGAGTTGTGATGCAGTAAGTAACCGCCTGATTAATCGAGAGACTACCTGCCTACATAACCAACTTCCTGTATTATTAATTATGTGCACAAACAGCGTCTGTGTCATGTGCTAGATATTTTCTGCTGAAGGCGTTTTTTTTATTATGGAACGTTAAAAACTGAATATCATGACGAAAGTTTGTCAATTGATCATTTAAATTAATTTACATGTCTTTGCAATAATTTCCAGTCTCTTAATGAGCTGTTTCCTAGTGCGTTCGCTGAGAAAGTAATTAATACGTTTAGTGGAGAAAATTAAATAAAGACATTTTTTATTTAAGTTATATTTTGTTGTTTTTTTAATGTAATTAAATCAAGAAGACAGTCGTCTACGGTCAGTCAATTTTCAGCGAACGTCAACCGTCCGTTTCAGAAAGTTAATTGCGTCACCAAGTTCCGTAAAATGAATAACACGCAAACACAATTCT